TTTGGGAATGTTAAATATATATATAAAATTGAGACTCAAGGATCGGTCTAAGTATGAAAGGTAGATTCGTCGCTAATCGAAGAAAAATTTCGATACGTGCGTTTGACATGCTGGACATAATTATTCTCCCACTATCATATTAATATTATATAAAAAGTAATATTAGTATTTAATAGCGCTAAGATATCCGTGCAGTACTCCTTATTTGCCTCTTCAATTCTTACTGTTAGTTATTCTAAAAAGGAGCTTACTATAATTTCTGTTTAAATAAATTAGACAAGTTTATGATAACTTTAGTGCGGATTGGATATTACGAGCAACAAGTTTCTTTAACGCATTTTCTCTACAACTTTTATCGTGTAGCGAGAATCACGATTCATTCTTTTTGCATTACGAAGGCATGCGGCAGGTACTTTAGCTTAACGTCAAAGTGGTCGGATCAAGGTCGTCAGTATATTCCAATCTACCTGGTAAGTTGGCTTTTACAAAATAATATTCATTATCTTGTTAGCGGACGGTAAGGACGTCTCCAAAAATAAAGTATTTGTGATCTCCGTGTTTCAACTTCGGTTAAATTTCGGTGCGATTCCCCCTGTTTCGTCCATTAATCCAAGGGAATGATGTGGAAGCGGTGGCAGTTCTATTGGGTCCTGTTATGCTTGTGTGCGGAAGGGTTAACCCAGAGAACTACTCTCGACTCACCCCTTAATTTAAGGATGCTACGTGTTTTTCGAAATTGGGCTCTCGACACTTTTGGTATGTATAATTAACGAGGTGAGGCATTTAAAAGCAAGAACTTTCTTCGATCTTTCTTGATATAGAAATTTTAATACTTGCATAAATTAATTATTCGTAAATTATATAATGTCCATTGTATCAATGAATTTGTAGTTTACTATATTTCATCGGATATCTGAGTTCTACTCTAAGTAATCTACATGTCTGGCTATCGAATATTATTCGTTTACCGCATCTCATTAGTTCTACCTATTTATCATGTGTTTCGAACGTCGTACTAAGTCTCGTCAAATACTTTTGAGCAAATAGTAGCGAATATTTGTTTTAGTTTTCTAAGATGTAACGTTATTATTAGATAAACGCGTCGAATTATCTACTAACATAAACACAAGAAAAAACATCAAACATTCGTATTGTGAACACAGTTTGAGAGAGAAATTTGAGAAAATATTAAAAATTTCTCTCTCTTTCTACTAAATTTTCTCGTAATTTTCATGAATCTTTCTTCTTTCATAATTTTTTGTTATATTTATTATACTCATAGCGATCAGACGGTTTAAATGATTCGGAGATAATTTTTTTATTGAAGACCATTATATACATGTAAGTATTAGTTAATGAACTTATAAGGGCGATTATTCATGTCGATACAAGTGAGTAGTCGAATATTCGAAGATAATATTTCACAATACGTATTTGTCAATCACGATAAGTGAAGATCCTTCAACTACAGACCATCTTGTATATTTTCTTTTTCCTTTTTGTGTAAAGCTTACACCGATATTAAGTCATATATTTAAAACCATCGTAAGTTTATGTTCTGATATCATATGGGTTTTTTTGGCATTGAATTATTGGAAGATGTACTTGAAAAGATTTTAAACATAAGATTGCACTATCAATACCGGCTTTAATTTGATAATGTGATAGAAAGAAAATGCTGATTTTTTGTAAGTAATCGTTGCGTCACATATGTGACGCCACTAGCAAACATGTTTAATTAAACTGGAACTCGATCGCAAAGTTTAGTCGAAACACGTTTCAAATACTATGCCTATTGTAATAAAATAGCACGCTGTTGCGACAAAAAGTTAGAAACATACGATACACAATTTTATCGTATTATTTTTCAATTCGTATTATAACAAACTTTTTCTTTATTTCGTAAAATAAAAATATGCCTTATTTTCTCGTACCCCCTCTTGCTTATTTTTGTTTAATACAACAAGCTATTCTCGTTCCTTGACTTGTGATCTCACAGCTAACGCTCCTGAGTAGTCGTCGCAGAACTCTTAATTAATGACCTGAGAAGCGAGAAAACACTTGTCCGAAGTTCTTACATGCCATTTTTAAATGAAAAGATATAAAAGATATTTGTATAAGAAAAGATATAAAAGATATTAAGTGACGCGGTAACGTTGCGACGCCAAGTACATAAAAACGAGTCCCGAGAATGACAGGTCCGAGATGTGACTATGTTCATGATACACGACGCTACCAAGAAGCTTTTCCGGAGTTTTTGCGACAATCACACTTCCAACTAAAATATCTCGTAAAATAAAACCGTAATGAAAAATCTAATTGCATTTCTGACAGAAACGTTGATACAAGCTTTCAATTGCGACCAATCTGATAAAAATTAGTGCAATCAATTCTGAGATCTGAAATTTTCACAAGCCAAAATTACAAATTTTCAGCGGTCGGTTTTTCTTCTCGATCAATTGTTTAAATCTTTTCTACAACATGTGGCAAAGTTTAAGTCTCTTGTACATTATATTGTGACGATAACACTCTAATATATCATTCTTAAATGTGATAATTGAGATACGTATATCAAGCGACACGTTCCTAATCGTTCCTAATTCGTATTTAATCGTGCGATAGAGCTGTAATATATCGTTTTAAATGTGTCCGATGTAATTAATAATTGAGATATTGAGATATTGAGATACGTATATCAAGCAACGCGGTAATGTTGAATTGCTAATCATATATAATATAAATTCGTATGTAAAAGCTCTAAGGTACAATTAAAAAATAAATTAAAAATGATGTCCTATAAGAGTCGAGTGCTAGAAAATGGAAAAAAAAGAATCACGACGTGACGAACGATGAAGATGCATTATATGTACTTTTATTATTTCTTTTTATATTTAGTAAAAATATATTTATCGTTATTTTATCAAGAAAACTTTATTATTTAATAAAGAAAACATTATTTGAAACAATATTTTTTAAACAAATTATATAATTTTAAATAAATATTTTAAATATTACACACTGAGACGATCAAAATTATGATAGTGAAACTACTAGATGGTTAGACGTGAATATAATTAGAAATAAAAAATTTAAGCCTCGCAAAGAGATTGAAACGTTAAATAGTAACTCTACATATATATTTTATCCTTCTTTAATAGATACATATTATTCGAGTAAACCCAAAGAACTTGAATCTATTCATTTGTATGATTATGCGAAGTGGTATGATATTACAAAATCTAAACCATATTCTAAAAATGTAGAATACTATGTGATTGGTGAATTCTTATATTTAAAGAAACGTAAATGTGGATATCTTATTGATCATTACGAATACAATGTCCATACTCAACCTGAACGTTATTATTTTTCATTGTTACTATTGTTTAAACTTTGGAGAGATATTAATGAATTAAAAAATTGATGTAATAGTTACGCAGAAGCATTTTCTTTAATACAGTTTCAACTTAAAGATGCTCTTCGATATCATGAAAAAGTAACTGATATTCAACAAGGTGTAGATAACGTCAAAGAACTAATTGAAAAAAATATACTAGAAAATAGAAATATAAAAGATGAAGACGATAATTTTGAAAATTGTACATTAAAATGTGTTTCTATTGAAATCAAAGGAGCTACAAAGGATTTCAAAGATGTTAGTAACAAATTTGAAATTTATAACATGGATGAAATGATATCGCAATTAAATGCTGATCAAAAACGAATCTTTAATAAAATTACAGCTACTATAACATCTCAAAGAGAAATTCTTAGATTATATGTAAGCGGTGAAAGTGGTACTGAAAAAAATTTTTTAATAAACACTATTAAATGTTGGATGAAAAAATATATTGGAAAAGACAAAGCAATAACTGCACCGGTATTAATATGCTATTATACCGGTATTATATTGCAGCTTTTAATATCGATGAACTTACTATTCATAGGTTGTTTCAATTACCAGTAGATATACATGGCTATACTGCTAAATATAAACAACTTTCTGATATAGTTCTTAAAATTATACGAGACAAACTAAAAAAATGTTGCTTTAATAATTATCCATGAAGTTTCAATGATTTCAAATATTACTGTAATGTATATACATCTTCGATTAACGGAAATATTTAATACTGAAGATTATGATAACGTATGGTTCGGTAAAAAAAACATACTTCTTTTCGGAGATTTATTGCAATTTCCACCTGTGCATGAAGAACCACTCTTTATGAAATTATCGAGAGCAAAAATTGAAAAATATGTTGGAGCAATGGAGCAATGGGCTCTGCGAATTTATGGTCTTTATTTAGTTATGATGAACAAATTAACATGCGACAAAAAAATGATAATTCTTATAGAAATATATTATCCAGAATTCGAATAGGAACAATAACAGATTCGGATACAGTTGCCTTAGAAATGAAAAAAATAAAATTTACAGAAACTACTTGTGATGACCGGTTGCAACAATTAAGTGATTATTTGCAGGAAATGCAGGAAATGAAGGATTATTCGCCTTGGTCAATTGCCAGTGGATATAATTTGTTTGCTTTCAACTTGTGCACTATGTGACATTCAACATTATTTAACATTATTATTTAAACATTATTTAAAATATATAAAATGAGCCAAGTACATGACTCATTATTATCAAGTTACAATAGATTTACATAAATTCTAAATAAATTCCGTAGAACAAGTTTCTAATTAAGAGACCAACCAAAATAAAGTACAAAAACTTAGCGTGCCCGGGTCGCATTAAAATAAGCGCATGCACACATCGCTTTTCCTCCTCCCTCCTCACAAATGCATATATACATATGCATATGCATATGCATAAATATATATATATATATATATATATATATATTTCTCACTCTCTCTCTCTTTCTCTCTCTACTAAATGTTTTCGTAATTTACTTGTATCTTTCTTCAATGAAATAAACTCCAAATAAACATGCATATAAGAAGGCATCTGGATACGTTTACATGTGTTCCGATTATATACATCGTGTAATTGTAGCTTGAGTTCCAAATAAATAAATAACGTTTTTTATCAAGTATCATTGTTCCAGCACTTTTTGTTCGTTCCACTTATTCACCAAGTATCTCGATAGGAAAAATGATATACGCGTATAGTTATATTATTAAACGTGTAAAGGTTAGAGCAATGATATACGCGTATAGTTATATACGTGTAAAGGTTAGAGCAATGATATACGCGTATAGTTATATTATTAAACGTGTAAAGGTTAGAGCAATGATATACGCGTATAGTTATATACGTGTAAAGGTTAGAGCAATGATATACGCGTATAGTTATATTATTAAACGTGTAAAGGTTAGAGCAAGCGATTTTTTGCCATATCCATTCACGTGATTTGTCGATTTTGCAGGTAGAACAGGCACAGAAGGTGGGAGAGACATTCAAATAGCAAGAAATAAACATACTATGCAAGAAATCGTTCCTGACAATGTCCCGTTTCCTTGTAACATAACAGGCATGAGATTTCATCTCTTATATATACGAGATGTGCTAGTATTTTATTGATGAATTTTTCAGGTGGAAGGTCGCAAGAGGTGCCGGATTCGATACATAAATTAAGGCCAGGCGATATCGATGTCATTGCCGCTATGGGTGACTCAATAACGGCTGGGGCTGGAATTTTTGCAAACAACTTATTTCAAATTATAGTTGAAAATAGAGGAGTTGGTGCACTTGGAGGAGGCCAAGGCACATGGAGGCAGTATATGACTCTGCCAAATATCATCAAGGTTGAGACTAAACCAATTAATATTTTGTTCTTAGAATCGTAGTTTTCTTGTATTAGTTAACGTATTTTGCGCTATTAACGTCATCGTACAAATAATTTTACGACAAAGACACTATGTTGCTAATTCTCTGTACTAATGGAATGTCACAGGCAAATGATAAATGGAACAATTTGATTTGTTAATTCAATAAACCCTTTTTATATTATAAATGCATCTCCAGCGTGCATCAAAAGTTCTTCACGCGACAGCATATTCATTAGAAAATATTTAGTCATTCATGACTTGCCGAAAAGTTTATTTACGTCACATATTTGAATGTGTTTATTAATTAAACTGAAATTTTCAATATATAGGAATTCAATCACAATTTGATAGGCTACGCAACTGAGGACTCGTTGGCGACTCATAAGAAATCGCAGCTAAATGTCGCTGAAAGCGGTGCTATGTCAGAGGACATGCCTTATATGGCGGAAGTGCTGGTTAAGAAAATTAAAAACAATTCGGAAATAGACGTGAAGAAGCATTGGAAAGTTCGTCACTCTCGATAGATCTAGTTTATTTGTAAAACGGTGCAACAGGAACTTGGAATAACAAATTGCATATATCGCTGCTTTATAATCAAACTAATTCTTTTAAATATAATAATTGACATATTAAATATGTCAATTTAACACAACCTGTGATTCCTAACGGTATTTAAGTGTTAAATTCTTGTGTTAATTTTTTCCATATTATGCCTGTTACTTTTTAACACATTTGTTTTGTGTTAAATTTACACATAAATGAGAGTGGATGATTTGGGACACATGAAATGTTAAATTTAACACATCAGTTTTTACAGTGTAGGATTTTTATTAAATTTTTTTTTAAGCGACATTAAATTTAATTGTCAGTTCTTGTTTATTTTTCTCAAAAATATCCACTTTCAATAAATTACCATCTCGCAGTGTGCCTCGAAGATATATCGCACTATTGATTAATAGTATTCTTGGCAACTAAATGGTAATAACAATAATTTGATTTACAGTTAATCTCGTTTATGATTGGACATAACGACTTTTGCACCGATATGTGTTGGATTTCTTCGCCTTGGTCAATTCTCGAAAAACATAAAACAGATTTACTTAAGGTTTTGAAAACATTAAGAGATAATCTACCGCGAACATTGGTATCGCTGATTCCGCCGATACATATGAAAACCTTGATTGACAGCCGTAAGGGTAGAGAATCTTTGCAATGTTACCTCACAACGACTACTGAATGTTCTTGCATATGTGGCTTTAGATTTCAGAATTTTTTACCCGAATATTTTAACATCATGAGACGGTTAGTATGTAACACAAACGATACTTTATAAAGTAAACTAAAAAAAAAATTATGGATTCTGTAATTTAATTGAATTGAATTTTTATGTTTTTTGAAATACACAAACATTATCGATGAAATGTATGTATTCATTATTTAAAAAGTTACAAATATATTCCAGATGGCAAGAGTTGGAAATAGAAATCTCTTCTTATCCGGAATTTCAAAAGGATGATTTTGCAGTCACAGTTCAACCTGTGACGTTAGATTTGCGCTTTCCACTTGCTTCGGATGGATATGTCGATACAACATATTACAGCAATGATTGTTTTCACTTCTCTCAAAAATTTAACGCTCGATGTAAATTTTCAATGTTTTTCATGTAGGAAATACGGAAGATTAATTTAATTGTATTTTGCTACGCGAGAAAATGTCTAACTCAATTTTGAAAGAATATGTTACCAATGTTTCTTTTATTTTTGCAGTAGCAAATGGTGTATGGAATAATATGTTGGAGCCGGTTGGCACTAAAACGACATATTGGCAGGACACCCTTGAGAAGTTTCTTTGTCCGACTTCGGAAAGGCCTTATTTTGCTACATTGAAAAATTCAAAAAATAATTTTCGCTAAAACCAATTGTTATCCGGTTGTAGAACATTTATTAGGATCTTAACTTAGTTTCCGCCCAAAAAATACTGAGAAAAAGCATTTATTGTAAAAAATTTATTTAAATTATTTCAATGAAAGTATTTTCCATCACTTTCTACAACTTTTTGCCATCTTTCTGGCAACTGGGCGATACCATCTCGATAAAACGATGTTTGTTTCGAAGCAATCCATTCGTCCACCCATTCTCGCACTTCTTCAACATTTCGGAAGCGTGTA